GAAGTTTCCCTATGTTTTTGTAATCTCATCGCAATGTTCGATGATGACAGCCTTATTTACGTGAAATTACTGCCTTTAACTTCCATTGATTCCATTCCTTGTTTCTACAATTGACTAGAAGTGTCAGAAGTTGCAAACAGAGAGAATGTCGTCGAATGATACTGGAAGTCAAGCTTCTGAAGGCGCCAGCCTCAACACAGCGTATGTTGTTGTCGAAAGTCCCAAAGGTATTTGTATAAATGAGGAAACTAACCATTCGAATAGGAATACAACCCCATCAACACAAGCTAGTAATAGAACCAGCTCATCAGCAAACATTATAAATCCTCCTTTATTTAAATTGAAGATATTAGATGCTTTGAAGAACAACAACTGTGATCAATTGAGACAACTTGTCATTTCAGTTAAGGATTCAGTGAATTATTATGAATTGTCATTAGTCAAGAACTTGATCTTTAACTTAGCAGTGCAAGTTGCGCCACTTCAAGTCATAACTCAATTGTTGTCAGATGATTCAAAAGATTTAGGAATTGATGTCAACTACCAGGATGAGAATGGGAATGCGCCTCTTCATTTAGCTGCACTCAACTCTAGGGCAGACGTCGTTCAATTATTACTGAGAGATGAGAGAATCAACGATACAATCCTCAATAATGACCTAAAACAACCAATTGAAGTGGCGAAAGACCTCAGAATAGTGGAATTACTTCAAAAGGAACGTGCTACTTATGTTGAACGAATCGCCAATGATTTGAGGTCTGCATTCACAAACCATGATTTTGCGAGATTGGATGAGATTTTGGCATCACCAAGAAATTTTGAATTATTGGATATAAATGGGAATGATCCAGAGACAGGTGATACTGTTTTACATGAGTTTGTCAAGAAGAATGATATTGGAATGGTTAAATGGATTTTAACTCATGGTGGTGATCCTTTCAAAAGAGATAGAAAGGGGAAATTACCAATTGAGTTGGTTGGAAAAAATAATGATACCATGAAAAAAATCTTGAAGGACGCTACTAAAGATCAAAATGTTATAAGTCAAGCTGGTAGATCAACAGGTTTCAAAGCTCCAACATATAAAGGATACTTGAGAAAATGGACAAATTTTGCATCAGGTTACAAGTTGCGTTGGTTTATCTTGGACTCAAATGGGATTTTATCATATTACAAGAGTCAAGAAGATACAAATAATGCTTGTAGAGGGTCATTAAACATGAAAAGTGCTATTCTACATTTAGATTCATCAGAGAAACAAAAATTTGAAATTATTAGCAAAAGTGGTGTTAGATGGCATTTGAAAAGTAATTATCCAATTGAGACAAATCGTTGGGTTTGGAGTTTACAAGGAGCAATAAGATATGCTAAGGATAAGGAAAGAGCTATTCGTTATTCCCAAGAAACTGAAAGAAAAGATAGCTTCGATAGTGTTGGTGGAGCTGGAGTTAACCGTCATACAAGAAACTTGAGCTCGGGATCAGTTGAAGAAAATTCTAATAAATTGGAATCAAGTGCAAACAGTTTAGCTGATATCAAAGAGAATGAACGCTTGAAACAAACTGAAGCCCGCCGTCCAGCACAAATTGTTTATGATACCGATGATGAAGATGATAACGAATCGAGGGAAGTCAGTCTTGTTCAAGAAAATGAGGATATTGATATTGAATCTGGTCCTTATATTCAAGAGATTTCAGTTTTGAAACGAGGATTCAGTCTTGAATTGGGCTCATTGAGAGAGTTGTTGTTTAGTGTCAAAGAAACAATGACCACACCTTCAGAACCATTAAACATTTCACTAGGTGGTATTGAAACTTTAACTGAAAGCTTTGATAGATTAAACACATTGGTTTCCAAAAGAGATGAAAAATTGATTAGAGATTTACAAAAACAAAAAGATATCAATGAATTGTGGATCAACTCAATTAGAGATTTAGAAAATGAATTACTCGCTAAAAACAGTGAATTACAAAACTTTGAAGCTGAAAGAAGAAACTTGAAAAAAGTGTTAACAAAGAAATTTGGTAATATCGGCTCACCACTTGCAGATGTTCCTGCAACACCTGAAGCTCAACCAACTGGTCCATCTCCATTAGGTGCTGCTGAATCTAACACTGTTCAAGATGAGCCTTTTGATGCTAACGATGTTGAGATTTCAAGATTTATCAATGAAGATGAGGATTCAGATGATGAATTTTTTGATGCTGCAGATTTCGAAGAGGACGATGAAGTATCTGAAAGGGCAACTCAAGAATCAATTGTTGGAGGTGTTGCTGGCTCTACAGCTGCAACTACACCAGCACCAAGCGTTCAAGAACCTGAAACTACAGAAAAGCCTGTTGAAACTGAGCCAAAACAAGAAGAAGAAGAACAACAAGTGGAGGGTGAATATTCCAATGAACTACAGCAAAAGAAAGATTTATTGATGAAAAATGAAGGCACATTTAAGGGTTACGATTTCAAACCAAGAAGTGAATTGGCCTTAAAAGTTGACGACAGACCAAAGATAGGATTGTGGGGTATTTTGAAATCCATGATAGGTAAGGATATGACTAAAATTGCTCTACCAGTTACATTCAATGAGCCAACTTCATTATTACAAAGAGTTGCCGAAGATTTGGAATATGTGAATTTGTTAGATCAAGCTGCCTCATTTGAAGATTCAACATTGAGATTATTATACGTTGCAGCATTTGCAGCTTCTGAGTATGGATCAACAACTAATCGTGTTGCTAAACCGTTCAATCCATTATTAGGTGAAACTTATGAATATGCTAGACCAGATTTAGGATTTAGATTCTTCACAGAACAAGTTAGTCATCATCCACCAGTTTCAGCGGCTATAGCTGAAGCTTCTAAATGGGATTATTATGGTGAGACTTCAGTCAAATCAGGTTTTAATGGTCGTTCATTTGATGTTCAACCTCTTGGTATTTGGTATTTACATCTAAGACCAGATCAATCATCACATAAAGAAGAATTGTATACATGGAAGAAGATTACTAGTTCAGTTATCGGTATTATTGTTGGTAATCCATCTGTCGATAATTATGGTGAAATGATCATCACAAATAATCAAACAGGTGATAAAGCAGTGTTGAACTTCAAACCAAGAGGTTGGAGAGGTGCATCAGCTTATGAAATGAGTGGTGTTATTTATAATAGAAAAGGTGAAAAGGTTTGGTCAATTGGTGGACATTGGAACAATAGAATCTTTGGTAAAAAAGTGATTAAAAATGATTCAAGTATTGATTATTCCAACAAGAAGATTAGTTCAACACCAACTGAAGATGGTACTAAATTCTTGATATGGCAAATGGCTCCAAGACCAAAAGTTCCATTCAATTTGACCAGCTATGCAATTACTTTGAACGAACCAAATCCTAAATTGTTGGAATATATCAGCCCATCAGATACTAGATTAAGACCAGATCAAAGAGCCATGGAGGATGGTAAATATGATGAAGCTGGAGTGTTGAAGAATAGAGTTGAAGAGAAACAAAGAGCAGCTAGAAAGAAAAGAGAACAACAAGGCGAGAAATACCATCCTACTTACTTCACTAGAGAGACACATAAAGCTACTGGTGAAGAGTACTGGAAGTTTAACGGTGAATATTGGAAGCAGAGAAAAGATGGCAAATTACCAAACATCGATATTTTTTAAACCGACTTCATGAATCTCAACGATGACTCTCACTTTAGAATTTGATTATGCGTTTGTGTTTATGTATTTGAATTTTGATATAATTATTTACACATTTTATGTTCCTTGTAGCTTCTTGATGTTTGGCGCGAATCTCGGTGTTCACCAAGTTGCACACAAGTTGCTTGAGCTACTCTACCAAAACGGTCAAAACTAGTGGCCTGAGCCAATCACGGGCCTTTTTTAAGTGCGTGAAGGATTGACTGGCAAACTGATCGTCGTTGAGAGCACAAAGCCTCCATCCTTGCTCGAAACCTTTCCAACACAGCCAAAAATCCAAAGGGTCCTTGCCTGGCGAGCAAAGTGGGCGCTTTCAGCCTGGCTCCCAGGCAGAGGTTCCTGCCAAAGACCTCCGGTGACTCCGTGCGTGCTGCTACCGGTTTTGGGGGTACCAAGAGAAAAAAAATCTCAAAAAATTATTTCCAACACTTTTTTAGGAGATTTATAAATAAAAACAAAAATCATCAACAACAACAACGAAAAAAGGTTTGGCAGACGACAACGACGAAGTTGACAACTTCAACAACAGACTCCAAAACCGTGAACACGCTAGCTCAACACTGAACATGAAGAGGATCTTTTCCGGAAACCGCTCCGGAGCAGCCTCCCCTAATATGGCTGACACAAGGTCAAGATCAAACTCTACTCCTCCACAACCTTCCGAAGAAATACCCCCAGAACTGGCTCCAATCGTCACCTTGTTAGGTGCTCAGGCTCACCGTCGTTATAATGAAGGTGTCTTTATGCTCTTGCAGAGTATCAACTCTGATGGTGAACCAGTGCCAAATCGTCAATGGAGAGAAGTATACGGTGTCTTGTTGGGGACTCAATTGGCTGTTTGGGACGTTGATGAATTAGAAAAGCATCAAAACAACACAGAAGCATTGATGAATGCTAGTTCTAAGCCGGATTATATCAACTTTACAGACTCCTCATTCAGAGCAGTTGATAGATTGGAAAATTCTCAAGGTTTGAAAAACATTATTATTGTCTCTACAACTTTGAAAAATCAATATCTTTTACAATATCAAGAACTTGAAGATTTCCATCGTTGGAACGCCGCTTTCAGATTATCCACGTTTGAATATACTTCATTGCAAGAAGCTTATACTGGTGCCTTATTATCTGCCAAAGGTTCAAAACTTTCAGATATCAGAACCATTTTATCAGAATCGAAATTTGATTATGAAGATTGGGTTAGTGTTAGATTCGGTTCTGGTATGCCTTGGAAAAGATGTTTTGCAGTTATTGAACAACCAAACAAGAAATCGAAAAAGGGGAAAGTTTATAAAGGTTCAGTGTCATTTTATAAAGATGAGAAAAAGCAAAAAAAACTGCTATGGCTATTATTAAAGATGCAAGTGCTACTTATGCTTTATATCCACAATCCCATAAGTTGATTGACCATAGTACAATGATCAAATTGGAAGGTACAGTGTTTTTCGATGGTAATAAGAAATCATTGCCAAAAGAAGCTTGTGTTT